ACCAGCATACACCCCGTTATGTAAATGTTCTGGCAGTCAAGTCTTTGCATGGAAAGGATCAAATGTAATCACTTTAATGAGAAACCTTTTGTTATGCAAAGGCTCGCACATGAAAGTGAGTGAGCGATAACGAGAGACGGACCCAGGTAGCCGACTTCAGTGCAAGCAGTGGTTTATTATTATACAGTGTGGTAAGGTGATAAACAAGCAGGTAGATGATCACTGAACGGGGGGAAACTGGGTGTCGACCAACAGCAGGAGTGGAGGAATGATGAGCTGGAATGCGGTGGGCTGTTACGATTGCTCGGACACGGCAATGAACGAGCAAATAAGATGGACCCAGGTAGCTGGCTTCGGTGCAAGTAGTGTAAGATTTATGTAAGGTGAGCACGTGTATGATGAAAGCAATCAGGGGCTAAAAGGGAGAGACAGTGAGGAAGGTGAGAGAGGCCAGAGTGGCAAACCTGACACCCTTTCTCTCTATAATGAGACACTTTCTTCATTATAATGAGGAAGCATTCCTGTTATAATGAGAAAAGGTGTCTCGTTAAATTAAGAATGTTTTCTTGTTATAATGACACACTTTTTCTTGTTATAACAGGAATAACTGTTTGGGAGGTTTTTACATATTCTTTGGTACTTCAATCACAAATTGAAATATAGTTCACATACAGTATAGGGCCTCTATAATGATATTACACAGGCCTAAAATGGACCAGCAGTGCCCAGACTCTCTTCATCTGTCAATAAAGCCTGATTGGGATGTGTGCAGGGTGTTGTTTTTTAATTTATCTTGGCTCATGAGCTGCATTATTTTGTGTGCCTTTGCGTAATAGATCATAGATTCACAATGACCGTCTGGAGCAGACCTCCAGTTCATCTCAACTCAGCAGCTTCTGTCTTAAATTTTCTTCTGTCTCTGTTTCCCAGTGCCTCGACCACTGACCTGTCCAGTGGCTTTGACACTGGGCTTAGCTACCTGAGGAAGAGTCCGGACCAGTACAGCTCTAGGGGCAGCATGGAGAGCCTGGACCCTACGCAGTCCTCCCAGCTTCACTCTGGAGCTCAGCACCACCACCCACTTGGTCACCACATCCTCAGCGGACCCCACCACACCTATTCCTCCTGCCACCAGCTGTCCTCTGCCAGGTTCATGCAAGCAAACACAAATGAGATATTGTCATTTTATCAGCTGCTAGTGTTGAAGTTGACCAACAACTGCTGACAAATGCTGGGTGCAGTGACTATATCCAGCATCTCAAACGTCCTGTCCTCAGTGCTGTTGCCAAATTTGAGGGATATCTTAAATCTGCTGTGTGAGTGTTCTAGTCAGACCTTAACATTGTTGTCCTCTTGGAGAATTGAGAATGGAAAGATCATTAGAGTCTTTGGATTGTACTATGATGGTCCAGGAATTTCAGCCTCCCCCTGCCACAGTCACTATGTGTTGTCCTTTTGGGAGTACCAGTGTCTTAGTCAGTTAACAAGAATGTCATGAATGAAATGTTTTGTCATGTTCCAGGTCCTCCAACAGCATCGACCACCTCCACAGCAAACGAGACTCTGCCTACTCCTCCTTCTCCACTAGTTCCAGTATCCCTGAGTACCTTGCCTCCACCCCCTCCTTTAGCCCAGAGCGCTCCTGTTCACTAGAGACTGTCCCCCAGAGAGGAGGAGGAAGTGGCGAGATGCAACAGGCTGACATGCGTTTCGTCCAGACAGTTTATGATTCCCAGCAGGGTCTATCTCAAGAACATGGGCTAAGCTCCACCTCCGCCGCATTGCTGTGCAATAGTGATTCCAGAGGTGGGGGAGGGGTGAGGCCAGGGCTAAGCCGAGATCCACAAGGTAAAGGTTCTGTTTCAGGAGTGGTTTTCAGGTAGTGTAACAGTGATATGAGGATATCATTGTTTTTCTTTGTACTACTTGTTGCAGTTTCAGTGGGCGGGGTCTGTTATCATGGCGGCGGCAACAGCAGTGGCAGCGTACCAGCTTCTAACAGACATAGTGTGGGTCCAGTATGGGGCCCAGCAGCTAGCCACAGCTCCTATGAGAGTCTGAGGGGAGCGCCGGCTCCACCGAGGCGCAGTGACAGCTACGCTGCCATCAGGAACCATGAAAGACCAAACTCCTGGTCCAGTCAGGAGCATGCCCGATCGCTACGGTGAGTAGGGTCTGTCAAACCAGGGCGAGTATTGGTTCTTATCCAAAGGTAGGCCCCAATGCAACAGTGATGATGGTGAAGAGGATATGTTATCAGTTAAGAGCACAATATCAATACAAAACAGTACAGTACAGCACTGTGTGTTGCTTTTTAATATGAAACAATATTGTATAATGCATACTGTGATATGTTCCTAAATCGAATAGTGTTTTATAATATGGTAACATGTGATGCAGAAGAGTATGATGGAGTACATTTCGAATATTGCTGAAAATGTGCTGTATTTGTGTGAAACAAAATGTCACCTGGTCTAACTGACCGTCTAATCTGATGTATTTTAGGTTTCTACAGAAAGGTTCCTGGCATCACTCCAGTGGTCCTGTGGCCTCCAGTGCAGGTATATTTTAATTCTCCAGTTTTTAAATCTTCAGGATTTTACAAATCTTATGAACCGACTACAATCCAAATATACAGTAGTTAGTCACTAGTTATGGAACACTTAGTTAGTTGGGTGGTACAAGCTCTCATCATTAATCCTCTGCATTGCTCCTCCAAACATCACTGCTGTGGTTCTAGCTAAAGGCTCGTACGGGGCAGAGGGTCAGCTGCACACGGTGATAGAGAAAAGTCCAGAGAGCAGCCCCACCACAAAACCCCGGCAGGGTGGAGGTTATTTCCAGTCGTCTTCACCTCCTGAACCCTCATCTGGACTTGCAGCCCCCACCCTCGAGTCTGGCCAGCTTATTCTTCCCACAGGCATGTACCCTGTCCCCCAGCCTGAACCCCACTTTGCACAGATGCCCAGCTCCAGCCCCGGTCCAGTCTCCTCTGGAGTCTACCCTACCCTTGCCAGGGAGAGCAGCCGACAGCAGCACCAGGGGCAGCAGGGAATTGGAGGGAGGGATGAAGGCACCATAGAGGGGCGAAGGGATGAAAGGACATCATCTACAGAAAATGGATACCAAAATTACACTTCTTCTTCATCATATCCCCAGTTCTCTTATTCCTCTTCACAGCTCTGGACTCAAGCACATGGGGCAGAGAGGTGATGATTTAATTTTTTTTCACTTATAAAGATATATAGATACTGTATGTCACTCATTGCCAAGTGGCTGTAAAAGGTTTGTAACTGTAGTTAGCTGAAGTTACAGTTGAACAGCAGCTTAAATCAGTTCAAAATTATATTAGTTACACTGATTGCATAATAAAGCAACTGCTGATCTAGCAGTCTTTCAGCAGGTCAGAGTCCTTCATAAGTCAAAGTCATTAAAGCAGTCAAAGTCTTTTAACTGGTCAGAGTGCTTCAGCATGGTCTAATTGAGGCTTCCTGACTGAGGGTTTCTTTGCAGAAAACAAGGGCACGGTAAAGAACTGACAGCCAGTCTAATTTATCAAGGTTCCGTGTAAAGCTAACAATGAATGGTTGGTTGGTTCATCTAATGGTTGGATGAAGTCAGTTGATGTCAGTCTTGATGTCTTTATTTCGTCCAACTTATTTCTTACTACCTCCACTTTCTCCTCCTCTCAGGTCAGCAGACCAAACCAGCATTCATTCAGACCCAGTGATGGCATCCAGGCTCAGCCAGGGACAGGGGCCACCTACCCACATACTCGTTCAGTCTCAGGCTCCACCCACTTCCCAGAGTTTTCCCCGTCACTTCAGTGACTCAGCAGCTCTGCAATACTGGGATGACAGAGAACTGGACAAAGACAGAGAACATCCACTGACCCATCTAGAGATCGCCCTTGCTGAGGTCCAGCGATGCGCCAGCCCTGGCGGTGATTCCTCCACCAATAGCCATGGCAACAGTAGATTTGTTGATGACAGTCCAGGACCTGTCCACAGCCTCTCTGTCTTGGAGAAAGTCAGTCATTTTGAGCGTCGAGAACGTGCTGGAAGGCAGCGTAGTTACAGCACAACCAGCGCACACAAAAAAGCCATCCGTTTGCGGGTAGCTAAACTTATCATTGTGATTGCCATGTTTTTATTTTAATGATTTATATTGATGATTCAACTGCAATGTCCAAAATGACTGGTCAGTCATATGTAAAAAACACCACTTAACACTGAAGTACGTTGTATGGGCATATCCTTTTGACTTACCAGACAACATTTGTTTTATCCTCAAGGTACCTGCAAAATCTGAAATTCTTGTTCTGTGTTGGCTGTGATGCTGATTCACTGCTCTGTGTTTTTTGATGTTGAATCAGATGTCTGAGAAAGCACGCAACACGTCCTGTGGAGCAGATGACCTGAGAAACATGTTGGCAAGAAGCACCAGTATGACCAAAGCTCAAAGAACTCTGAGCTACAGAGGAGGCAGCAGCGACCACATGAAATGCAGGTATAAAGGCCGCAGATAATTATTACAAGCATAGCTACTGTACAAGTGTGAATTTTTTTTTTACTCTGTGTGTATTTATTGCACTTCCATCCTATGGCCACTTTTAATTTGTCATCGTCAAATTGTGTCACATTTATTGGACTTTATTCCATTTCAAATGCCAGTTACATTTCGGTGTGGTGTTTAGGACCCCAGCAGATCCCATTTCAGCCCTCCAGAGGAGCCGCAGCAGCTTTCACCTGGAGGGATCCAGGGAGCGAGACAGCAGCAAAGAGTTCCCTTGGGTACAAGACACCCAGGAGATGCTGGGCTCCATGCAGGATACATCTTTCAGCAGGTCAGAGTCCTTTAACAGTTTAGAGTCTTCCGTGAAGGACACATCCACTGGATGGGGGCTCAGTCAGTTTCACCATAAACACAATAATTATAATATAGTTGTATTGTCTTATTTGAAAAACAGTGAAACATTTATAAAATGACATTCCAATAACCCTGAGATGCCCACGGATTTCGCACACTGGATGCAGCTGTGAGTAAACTACGTTATATAATTGCTGCTGGTTACAGGACCAGAGACTTTCTTTCTTCCACACACAAAAGCTGGTCAGTGATATTAGCAGACTACTGGGTGAATATTTATGTGCAGTACTTCTACATAAATAGTTTTTATCACTGTCAGTCTAGGAATGCAGAACTGAACTGGCAGGAGAAGGAGATATGTATTTCCATGTCCTGACATCAGTGACATCAGTCAGACAGGTTTCTGTCCTGCTCTTCAGCGGGGATGAGAGGAGCTGGTTTGATTGGACAGAACTGAAGCCAGCTCAGACTCCACCTGCTCACCATGTATTCCTCCGTAATGTCTGGCTGCACACAGAAGTGTGCTGTGTCTGTGGTCACCAAAACGTTGAGCACATCCATATATGTCTTGCACCTGGAGCTTAGACATGAGGTTTACACTGCACCCTATTGCAAGAAAATAGAGCTGCTGTAGAGATGTGTCTGTCCATTAGAAGAGCTCACCTGCTCATTTGCAGTCATGCCTCCTATATGATCACTGGTTTTTGACTGTTGTCACCTCCTTCACCGACTGGGTTAAATAACACACACTAGAACCAACCACTGTTGACTGTGTACTCAGGGCCAAAGTTTCCAACATACATAGAGGTCAATAGTAGAGCCTTGGCATAACACATGGAGAGACAGGGATTATAGGGGAATAGAATCAGCTAGGTTTACAGATAGTTTAGTCAATATGTCCAGCTAGGGAAATTCTGACTGACAGCCAGTTCTATAACTATGAAGCTTGTCTCTGACCAGGTCTTACAGAGACTCTTTGAAAGATGCCCAGTCTAAGGTTCTGCGGTCCACCTCCTTCAGACAGAGAGACTTCAGGTCATCAGGCAGCCCTCCACCTCCTTCAGCTTTTCCTCCCATGTCCTTTTCCAGCAATGATCAGCCTTCACCCATTCCTGCCAAGCACCACTCCCTGGAGAAAAAAGGCCCAAGAACCATGCCCAAACCACAGGGCATCACCATCACACCACAATTGCCACCACAGGTCATTTCCCCTCACACCCCAAAGGAGCGGCATATGGTTAGCCCAGAGAGTCGTGGCTCGAGCCCCCCAGCCCTTCCCAGTGTTCCACCAGTTGGACCTCATAGGATAGGTGGCCGCAGGCGTCTGACAGCAGACCAGAAGAAGCGCTCGTACTCAGAGCCAGAGAACATGAACGAGGTTGGGGTTTTGGATATTGAGACTGCTGCCCTCTTCAGGCATGGAGGAGGTAAACACCAAATAAAAAACAGCTGTGGCACTATACTCCTCCTACACAGCTCATTAATAATATGGGAGAGATATGTAATTCTTAGACAGGCAGAGCTATATCTGTTGTATTGTTTTCCACTTAGTTAGGATCCTTCATCTGCTCTAGCCTGCCTTTTATGTTGTTCCCATGTCATATTACCGTTGTTACTCACAAAAGAAAGTAGCTCAATAGAAATGTCAGTGTTGTAATTGGTGGGTGTGTGGTATGACACGAGAAACATCTAACATCTGTTTATCAGAGACCAGTGTGGCAGACAGACGGAAGATGTTTGAACCTCCTGCAAGTCGCATCGGGGGTGGGGGTCCTCAGAGCACCACATCAAGGCCCGACCTACGGCAGCTTCAGCATGACGCGCTTGCCGAGTATGTGGAGAGGAAGAGAAGTGGGAAGAGAGACGACAGAGAACAGAGTAAACCAAGGCCTCGCAGTGTTTATCTACAACCTGACAACAGTAACCATACAGGTGAGTGATATGTGGATAGACCAAAGAAACAGAGTGAGGATGGAGTGATGATTTGATGGATGTATGAAGGAGAGATGGCAGGTAAAGTAAATATCTTAGTGAGTGACTGAGAAAGGAATAGGTGGATTTACCAGATCTTTAATCTTCTCTTTACCTTTTTTGTTCCTCCCCATCTTCCTTGTTCCCTCCTCTTTCTCTCCCTCTCTCCCACCTCCCCCTGTTACTCAGACACCCTCAGCTTCTCCTCCAGTCTACTCTCCCTCCAGGACTCTGGCACAGATCGAAGCTTCTCCTCTGAGGAGAGACGTCTCTGCTCCACTCTCCCTCCTGGAGCCGACCTGCAGAGTCACCAGTCCAACCTCTTCTACCAAGGCAGGGCGACTACACCAAGGCCTCCATCACATCCACCACCTAGGTAACCAAAATGAGATGCCTGCTGAATCGCACTCTGGTTTTATCCATAGTAGGAGTCATGGTTCTTGAGTTTGGAATGTCAGTCAGACTTCCACCACTCTGGTTCAGACCTGGTTCAGACATTTGATATAGACATTCATGTTCACCACCAGATGGTTTGTCATAACCCAAATTTTACATTTTATTATGAGGTTGAATTATTAAATTTTCATAATAAACATTTTTCGGGTTTCTACTCTCAGTGCTCTTGCTGGCTCTTTTCCTGAGCCCCAGGCCCCGATCCTCCAGACTCTCACCCATGAAGCAGGTCTCAACGGACAGAGTCAGCCTTTGAACAAAGACCGAGGCCTGGGCCACCAGCAGCAGGTTGCCGAGCCTCAACACAAACAGCTCAGTGGGGCTCTGCAGAGCAGTGGGCCAGCTCGAAGCTCTGGGAAGTCAGCTTCTGCTGAGGATCTCCTGAAGCGAACCGAGGAGAGGCAAACGACTTCTCAACACCACCGCTCTCTCTCTTCCCCCACTGTGGAAACACTGCACCAGGTAACACCACACTCACACAAGGGCTCCCATTTTGGTGGAGATTATTGCAGCCCAGAGTTACTACATTTACTGCAGAGTTTCTGAAAAATTACAAACCCCATTTTAAACCTATTTTGTAAATATAAAGACATTTAAAATTTGCCTGCAGTCAAAGTCTGAAAGAATATAGAATATTCCAGTAACACCACTCACCTTTCTGTGCGGAGTTTGTATGTTCTCCCTGTGCCTGCGTGGGTTCTCTCCGGGTACCCCCGCTTCCTCCCACAGCCCGAAGACATGTGATTTGGTTGACTGGTGACTCTGCGTGTGGAGTGAGTGTGGGTGTGTGTGGTTGTTTGTCAACACGTCAGCCCTGTGATAGCCTGGCGACCTGTCCAGGGTGGACCCCGCCTCTCACCCAGTGTCAGCTGGGATAGCGGGGGAAGAAACTGTGACCCATGAGGTGTACAGGTGTCTCCATGGAGGCCAGACTGGCACTAATAATTCTTTCTGCAGTTCTGACTGTCCTCTTTGGTTGCTGAACCAAATCAGACAGTGATGGATGAGCAGAGAGCAGACTTTATGATTTATCTGTAGAACTGTATCAGCAGCTCCTGGGGAAGTTGAACTTCCTGGGCTGGTGCAGAAAGTAAATGGTAAATGGTCTGTATTTATATAGCGCATTTTTCACAGTGTGTTGCACTGGCCAAAGCGCTTTACAGGAGATCATACACCATTCACCCATTCACACACACATTCACACACCGATGATGACAAGGCTGCCACACAACGGCGCTAGTCAAGCCACCAGGAGCAATTCAGGGTTCAGTGTCTTGCTCAGGGACACTTAGGCATGCGGGGAGACCAGGAGTCGAACCACCAACTTGCTGGTCAGAAGCCGACTTGCCCTACCTCGTGAGCCACAGCCTTTTTAGTAATGGTGCTGATGACTTCAGGTCCTGGGAGATAGCGGAGCCCAGGAACTTGGAGGACTCTACTGCTGACACAGTGCTGCTCAGTATGGCTATATTACTATATCTCATGATTGTCAAAACAGAGCTGAGTATATAAATGACGTGTTCAATTACATGCTGTCCGCTATGGTGTAAAATGAAATACATCACCAGCTTGAATGCATTTTCAAGAAATCTTAAGCAGACTTTCATGGTCCTTGTGGCATTACAATTTATTTGATGACATTTTGCCATTAAGGGACATTTGGCCATGAGTCACACAAGAAATAGCCAGAATCCTCAGCTTCCTGTGAGGTGCCAGGGAGCCGTGGACGGTGGTTGGGCGCTGTCCGATGTGGATGATGGCAAAGATAACACACGCTGAGACAGACACATATACACGACATGCACACATCTACAGAGGTCTTAAAGGAATGCAGTAAAGGATGAATTAGTCTTTTATCTGCTTCAGTGATCAGAGCAGCTTGTGTCACATAAACATCATTATGGTTCAGTCAGGCAGACAGACACTCTGTTCTCGAACTTTAAACAACAGAATTCACAGCATGGTGTTGTCAGTCCTGCTCCTACGGTGTTGAGTTTTTAGATTAGTGGTGTAAAAATATACCTTATGGACCATATTGATGTTTTGCACATGTTTGGTCAGTGGTTGAATCATTTGCCAGTCCAAACCACGTTGTCTGTGTGTTTCAGGATTTCCCTCCAGGTGATGTCAGGATGTTTGGTGAGGTCATCTCTGAAACTGGGCGCTGCTCTCTGGCTGATGACAGGTACATCACATACGCTATGTGAACATGTGACCAAACGGCTGCTCTGGGTTTTCAGAGTCTTGCATCTGTCATTACCTGTTA